TGGGAAACTGGTGAAAAGGACAAGAAGGAAAGAAGAAAAAATAAAAAGAACAAAATGAAACAGAAAACAATGTTCTCTCTATCTCCGTGTCTCTTGAGGGGAGAGGGAGAGAGAGAGAGAGAGAGAGAGAGAGAGAGAGAGAGAGAGAGAGAGATCTAACTAAAAGAAAAGACACTAAAAGCAAAGAGAAAAAAAATTATCTGTGATGTCAAGCCTATGGTTATCTTCGGGACTTTACAGTTTTGTGGCTGTGTCTATTTCATGATATGACTCTACCCTCAGTGGTAGACAAGGAATGCAGCCAAAGCCCAAATCCATCCTGAGTAATCACTGGCCAGCCGGCAGTAGGATGAGCCTAGGTTGCCAGTTCTGGGATGTTCAAATCCATAGAAATTCAGGCTGAGTCTGGTTTTTGGTTATGGGAATGGGGCCTCAGTCATTTAACTTATAATAGTTGGGTGTCTCCTGCTGGTCTGGCCATGTCTGCCTGACCATGGACATCTGTGGCTGTCCCTCACCCTGACCCTCTGTGTTTTTAACACTGAGAGCTCTTAAGATGAAGCCATTTCATGGCTGCTCTGAGTCCTAGGATCAGTTGGCCTTTCTGCATAATGGTGTCTGACCAATCACTCTCTCCAAGGGTTAGGGCAAACACTTGGTCTGGAGTCATTCACTAGCTGTTATAGAACATAGCATCCACCATTCCATTTCACTGATGTGTTTCTTCCTGAAAGCTTCTGGAGTCACTCACTTTTCACTGTGTCTCTGTAGATTTAATCTTCCTTTCTCACCAGCTATATGCCAGGAACCAGGGAGAAAGTGAAGGTTGTCCCTTCTTCTTTCTCCATTGTAGTCTATCTCCTTAGTTTCTCATAGGCTTCAATTTTTCCTTCAGATCCTTCCTGAGTTCTGGGAATCCACATACCTCCTTTTCTTCACCAAGTTTTTATTTTCCAATATCTGCATTGTGAATCTTGGAGAGGCTGATTTGTTGCTACTTACTGCTCTACCATCTTCTCAAAAGTCCAGTTCTTTATGTATTCTAGATATTAATCCTCTGTCCAAGGAATAGCTGGCAAGATTTTTTCCCTTTTTGTAATTTTCTCCTCACTGTTAGTTGTTTCCTGTGCTGTGCAGAAGCTTTTAAATTGATATTATCCCACTTATTTGTTCTTGTTGTTATTTCTGGTGAAGTTGGGGTCCTGTTCAGAAAGTCTTTTCTTATGCCTATGTCTTCAAGAGTTTTACTAGCAAGTTAAGTGTTGTTGCTTTAATAGTTAGGTCTTTGATCCATTTTCTTTTATTACATGGTGACAGATACGAGTCTAGAGACAATCCTGTGCAAATGTATCACCAGTTTTCACAGTACCATTTGATAAAGAGGCTGTCTTTTCTCCAGTATGTTTTTGGCCCCTTTGTCAATGATCAGATTGCTGAATTTCCTGGGGTTGTTTCTGCTTCCTATATTCTCTTCCACTGATCCATATGTCTGTTTTTGTGTAGTATCATAATGTACTTATTACTGTTTTGTTTTGTTTTGTTTTGTTTTGTTTTGTTTTGTTTTGTTTGGCTGGCTCAAGACTCCTTAAGGGCAGGTCTGGTAAGGCATGAGGATCTAGGGATCAAACCACACAGTCCTGAGCCTCACTGCTATGCTTGAGCAGGCACTTAAACAACTGAGCTAATGGGCAGGACCCCATGTATTTATTACTGTTACCCAGGATTCCTTTAGCTATTCTAGGACTCGTCTGTTTCCCTATGAATTTCAGAATTCTTTTTTCTAATTCTGTGAGGACTGATGTTGGTATTTTGATTGAGACTGCATTAAATTTATGTACTAGTTTTTATAACATAGCAATTTTTACAATATTCATTCTACTTATCCAGGAACTGGAAATATCTTTCCATTTTCTTTTTTTTTCTTTTTTTTCTTTTTTTTCACAATAGAACCTGAAATTTTATTTAATATTTAATAATATTCAAACAAACATTTTTTTACAGTTTCAACAAATAATACACTGCATATATTCTTCTTAGTGGTTAATTGCTGTACAAGATGTGGACTTGTGATCCTATTTACAAACACCATTAGAACAAATCATTCTATTCATTAAGAGAATGCAACTATATATCTATCCTAACCACTTTGAATACACAGATACAAAATGGACATTCATCGGTATACCCCATTTTTTCTAAATTCCGTTATTGAATATTATAGGTGTGTAAACTCTCTTTCCATTTTCTAATATACTCTTGATATCATTTTTCAAAGTACTGAGTTTTTATTATAGAGATCTTGCACTCCTTTGTTAGATTAATTCCAAAATTCTTAATTTTTCTTGAAGCTATTGATAATGGTATTATTTTCCTAATTACTTTTTCTGTGGGCTCATTATTGGGGTCCAGGAATGCTATTAACTTCTTTTGCATGTGATTTTATATCCTGAATATGTGTATACAGTAAATCCCCAACTTATGAAAGAGGCCCATTCTGGGAGAATGTTCAAAAGTCAGATTCATTCATATGTTTGACAAAGTGAATCTTACAGACCTCTGACAAAAATATACAATATATATATTGCTTTGTGCTTATGGAAGTTCCCTCAATATCACTACTACTTTCTCTGTTGCTTCTGGACACCCAGGACCCTGAGTGAGGACTATACTACTCTAGAACACTGTTGTACTGTACAGTGAGCACACAGCAGCAAAACTGTAACAATGCCCAGAAAATATGTGTGGTACTTCTATGATTTGTTCACATTTGTGAATGTTCATATCAGGTTTGTTTGTATCTATGAAAGTTTGCAGCTCAAATGTTTGTAAGTTATGAACTTACTGTATGTCTTTTAACAGTGCCTAGAATCCTGTAAGCATGTAAGAATTTGGTATGTAAGTGCTACATGTTTTTCTATCTTTGTGCTTATTTACAATTTATAACAGTTATATTTGTATTAGGAGATGGGTGCATTAATGTAACATATCATGATTATTTTCTGTCATTTTACTCCCAAATATATGTATTCCACATCATTATCACCAGATTTACTAATTTACATGTGATCAATTTGAATTAGTTTATGTGTGCCTTTTAATCTGGTATTAATTCTTTATGTCAATTTTACTTTCTCTTTCCCTTAGGTGGGACATTTTGGATGAAGAACTCAGAAGAAAGAATTTTTGGGAAAACTGCATTTCATAGGGAAATTGAGAGTGGTGATACAAGGAACAGCTCATTGTATTCCATTTTAGAAGAACTGAGCCAAAATGCTGAGCAGATCAAAAGATATCAGGAACAACAGGACAGCTCTCTGAGTCACACTGCTTTTGTTAATAAGAAGATATTGAATATAGAGTGGAATTATGACACTGCAGACATTCATAAACGTGTTCATCCAAGCCTAAATCTTATTTCTTCACAGAAAAGACCCCATATATATGAATCATTTGGAAAGGATTTTAAACGTAATTTAGACTTAAATATTCATAATGAAAACAATGTAACAAAGACTTTTGATGAAAGTATTGGCCATGGTCAAATTTTTGCCCAAAGTACTCCTTATACTGCCCATGAAAATGTGTACAAGGAAGCAAACTTTTGTGAAAGCGATCAATGTGGAGAAGTCCTCAGCTTCAAACATGAACTTGGTCAAAATCTGAAATTCCCTGTCAGGGAAAAAGCAAACACATGTGCTGAATTTGGGAAGACCTTCACTCAAAAACACCCCTTTGTACCTCCAAGAGTTCACACTGTAGAAAAACCTCATGAGCTTAACAAATGTGTAAATGTCTTTACCCAGAAACCACTACTCAGTATATATCTAAGAGTTCATAGAGAGGAAAAACTATATGTATGTACTAAATGTGGGAAGGCCTTCACTGATAATTCAGAATTATTGACTCATGAGAAAACTCATACTAGAGAGAAACCATATAAATGCAGTGAATGTGGAAAATCATTTTTCCAGCTGTCCTCTCTACTTAGGCATCAAACAACTCATAGCAGAGAAAAACTTTATGAATGCAGTGAATGTGGGAAAGGCTTCTCCCTGAACTCAGCTCTCAATATACATCAAAAAATCCATACTGGAGAGAGACATCACAAATGCAGTGAGTGTGGGAAAGCCTTTACCCAGAAGTCAACACTCAGGATGCATCAGCGTATTCACACAGGAGAGAGATCCTATATATGTACTGAATGTGGGCAGGCCTTCATCCAAAAGGCACACTTGATTGCCCATCAAAGAATTCATACTGGAGAGAAGCCTTATGAGTGTAGTGACTGTGGGAAATCTTTTCCTTCTAAGTCCCAACTCCAGATGCATAAGAGAATTCACACAGGGGAGAAACCCTATATATGCACTGAATGTGGGAAGGCCTTCACTAATAGGTCAAATCTCAATACGCACCAGAAATCTCATACTGGAGAGAAGTCTTATATCTGTGCTGAATGTGGGAAGGCCTTCACTGACAGGTCAAATTTCAATAAACACCAGACCATTCATACAGGAGAGAAACCCTATGCCTGTACAGATTGTGGGAGGGCCTTCATCCAGAAGTCAGAGTTAATTACACATCAGAGAATGCATACTACAGAGAAGCCTTATAAATGCCCTGACTGTGATAAATCCTTCTCCAAAAAACCACATCTGAAAGTACATCAGAGAATTCACACAGGAGAAAAGCCATATATATGTGCAGAGTGTGGGAAGGCCTTCACTGACAGGTCAAACTTCAATAAACACCAAACCATTCATACTGGAGACAAACCCTATAAATGCAGTGACTGTGGGAAGGGCTTCACCCAGAAATCAGTTCTTAGTATGCATCGAAATATTCATACATGAAGTAACACTTTCTTAGAAATGAAAGAGTTTTATCACAAAAGTCAGTCTAAGTATGTATTGTAAAATACATCCAAGGCAGATACTAAATGAATACACTGTATGAGGAAAAGCAATAACAAGGCTGTATTATCTGAGATGAGAGAAATTATTCAGAAAAAAAACCCTCTTAGAATGCATTGAAGAAGACAGAATTTCTATAACGTACAATCTTACAAAATGTAGTAGAACTCATGTGGAAAAACTATCCTTTTGATGCCATTGAGAAAGTCCTTTCTATATGAAGTATAGTAAGGTAAATTGTTACTCATTTTTTTATAGGAAGGAGGGTACAAAATTATGTGACAGTGTTTACTGTATTATAGTAAATATTTCAAAGTAAGAACAAAATGAAAGGTTAGATAAGAAAATATATTTGATGTATACCCCTACTGTCAGTTCTATAGGGTGCCTGTGGCAGAATACATTGCATAGCAGAAGTAATTAAATTGAAATTTTTTCTTCAAATCTAGAATAATTGGGTCCATCAAATATGTCTATTGCATGTTTCTATTGAGTGAGTCTGTGAGTTAAGTCATTTTAGTTTTGTATGTGCACACGTCTGCAGAAATGATTTTACATGGATACATAAATATAACTGTATCATTCACACTGTTATCTGTGACATAGTATTTCTGTCTTTCATTGTAGTACAAAGCAAAAGGCCACAGGTTCCTCCCATACTTTTATGCATGCCCCTTTGCAATGTTCCTTTGCTGTTATGAAGAAGTAGCTCCCTTTCTCTACACTTTGGCTTTAAACTTGACCATGTCATTCATTTTGGCCAATGGATATTAGCAAAGAGATTTAAGAAGAGTCTTGAGAAGTGTGACAGTCTGTCTTGAGACACCCTTTCTTGCTGCTCTTTGGAATCCTGAGGCCTCTGTGTAATGAAACTCATACTTCCCTGCTGGGGGAAGAGAACAGGATATAGAACAGAGGCAAGCCATCCCACCAAGGCTCCAGAGACCCCCCGCAAGTAGACTGCCAACTATCAGACATTGGAGTGAGGCCTTCCTAGACCTTCAGCCCTAGCAAATCCAGTTTAGCCCATAATAGTCATTCCAGATATCCCAACCAATGTGCAAAATTATGGTATAAATCACTGTTTTAAGCAGTGTGTTTTGGGGGTAGTTTGTCACATACAAATGCTAAGTAATACTTAAAAGTATATATGTGTGGAATGTATTACACCCAAGCATAATGTGGCATTGGCTTTGGGCCTGGGAAGCAGGTGGAGACTAGAAAAACAGTGAGGAAAACTGTTAGCAAAGGCTGGAAAAGACGGCAACCCACATCATTTAGTAGGAAAAAGTGGCAAAACAGTTGTCATGCTCTGTGGGAAGATAGAGAATGAGTCACATGAACTTGTGGATCTGACTAAGGAGACTTTCAACAGAATATGGAAAGTGTCAGTTTGCTTCTTTCAGCTCCATATACAGAAATGAACTAACTAACTGTTCTGCTGGCAAGCAGAATCAGAAGAGATACAAAGAAGCCAGGGCTGAGTTGGGAAATAACTGTTTCACATAGCTCTTCTCTCCAACCATCAAAATATACTCAAAGTAGAAAATGACTTCAGGGTAAATATCAAATCATGGATGTGTCTGTAAGACCTTTTATTGTGATGTGTGAGACATTGTATTGGTTCTTGGGAGAGTTGGCTAAACTAATGAGCATCTAAAAATCTTTGTGATATTATCCTACTGTACCTTGACCCACTGCTCTGAGAAAAGCTTATCTTAAAAGAAATTATTCATTGTGGCATTTGGGGCATGAAGTTGGTCTAACCAGATTCATAGGAAACCAATAAGGTTTTACCAATAAAACTACCTCCAGATTGAACTGAAAGTGTCTGAAATAGTTAAAAATGAAAAAAGGACTCTGGGCTTCCCTTCCTAACTTTTACAAAAGGATACAAGCAGAAAAAGTTATTCAGCTGCAAGAATGGACGGTCTCTTATGAGAAAATACATCTCAGAGGGAAGACCCAAGGACGATATATTAAATGGATTGGGGAGCCATCCCCAGGGACACCTGTGAGATAATCAAGAAGCACTATCTGCCCTTGCAGCAAGGGGTCCTACTAGCATCTGCTCTGTGGGATTTCAAAACTGTTATAAAAAGGTGACTGACAAGTGTCTCTTGCCTCTCTTTTTGAAAAAAATATCTATCTCAGTTATTTTATCTATATATCCGTATAGATGTACGGGAGATGGTGTCATAGCTTGGCATTTAGCTCATAGGTTTCTGGATCAGGAAACTGAAAAACTATGGCCAAAGAACCTCAGTCACATCTGAACCTGGTGCAAAGACCAAAACCCTAGATTTGAGCCTGATGCCATCATTTTGGATGAAATATTTGGAGATCCTGGAATGGAACTAAACATACATTGCATGGAGGGGTAATGTGAATAATTTGTAACCAGAAGATAGACTGTGTTAGAAAAATGCTACAGAATTCTCTATGTATGTGGCTTTCATCCTTTGTCTTTGTATTTCATTTGGAATAATTTCTGTTGGTTTATCTTCAAGTGCACTGATCTCCACTCCCACCCTAGCTGTTTCAGAACTACTGACCCATTGATGGCATTTTCATCTCAGTTGTTTTCTCATTTACTTTTAGTATTTCCATTTGATTCTTAACTATGTGTGTTTTTCTGTTGAATTCCCCATCTGTTCATGCATGTTGTTTCTGTTTTCTGCTATTTCATTTGTCTTAGTTTGGACTGCTCTAAAAAAGCACCATACAGTAGGTGGCTTATAAACAATACAAATGTGTTTCTCATAGTTCTGGATACTGGAAGTCTGAGGTCATGGTGATAGTATGATTTGGGTTCTGCGGAGGACCCACTTCTGGGATGCAGGCTGCCAACTTGTCATTGTATCCTCCCTTGAGAGAAAGACATAGAAAGCCCTCTGAAGTCGCTCTTATAAGGAAACTTGATGAGAAAATTTTCTGAGAAATTTATGAGAAAATCCTTATGACATAAGTACTTCACAAAGACCCTACCTCCTAATGCCATCACGTTATAGACTACATTTCAGCCTACAAAATTTGAGGCAAAACAAACATCTAGTCTGTAATACATTTTACATATTAATCATAGTTATTTTAAGCTCCATGTATAATAGTTCCAGCAACTGGGCCACCAGCTGGGTCTTTGATTGCTTTATCTCTTGACAGTGGATTGCTTTCTATTGCTGTTTTACATCTAGTAATTTTTTTTTGCATCTAGTAATTTTTGACTGAATGCTGGACATTGTATGTAGGCTAGTATACATTGAGGTAAATAATATTTATTCCTGGAAATAAGCATGGCTGCTCTTCTGATAGACCACTGTCATGGCAGGATTGAGTCCATCTAGTCATCAATTGAACTGGCTTTCTGTTTTACTGATAGTATTGTGACTTCAGAGCACCATAGACTTCAAATTATTCTAATGTTACCTTATGTTTATACCAGACACTGGTGTCTCAGAGAATTTTCTCAATGATCCTGGACCATACTTGCCTTTAGGCCCTTCCTGTGTGCCTGCATTTCAGGGAAGGTCTCTTTCCATACTCTTGCTTCATCCTTAGCATTAGGTTGCTGTTCTTAATTGGTTCTTGCTGACCTATGGGGAGGAAGGGGCAAGAGTTACTTTATATTCCTGGGTCTTTAAGGCTGGGTTTTTCTCATTGATCCTACCCCTTATGGTCTGGGCCCAGGATAATTTCCTCTCATTTCATCATGGGTAGAATTTTTTTTCCTTTTCCCTTCCTCTCATCACATTGAATCTTCAACCTGTGTTCTAAGGGCAAGAGTTAGATGTACTGTCCCCCGTAGTTACGGATTTTGTTCTGCAGGATAGTACAGTCACATTGGGGCTTTGGATTATTTCTGTATCGGCAGCCTTTCTCTTCCAGGGCTATACCATGGACAGAGGCTTTCTCTAGTTTTTCACTCTCCTCCCAGTGTTTCCTTGTGAGCATCCAGCAGAGGTCTGTGGTGGGAAAAGCCTGAGAGTGTGTAGACCTTTATGTCTACAGTTCTCAAGGAATCTGTATCTTCACACTCTCTCACATTCCACTTTTAGAAACTCATAAAAAAAACTCTCGCTGAATTTTTACTGTTCCTATGGTGGCCTCCGTTGTCCTGCTGTGCCACAGGTAACCCAGTGATAACTGTCTGCCGTCTTCAAAGCATATATATATATATATATATATTTCTAAACCCCCCCCCAGAACCAGGGATTAAACTGAGGCCCTTGTACTTGCCAGGCAAGCCCTTATGCCCTTATTCTACTGAGCTATCTCCCTGGCCCCTCTTTTTTTATATATTTTGACCTAGTTTGTTCCTCTGTGATCTTAGCTTTTTGGTAGGTTCTTGAAAACTTATAGGTTTGTAGACTGTTTAGTTTTTTCTTATTGTATGGATGTGAATAATGTTCTTTTCAGATATGTACATCCTAATCAGAAGCCAAAAGAATAGATAGTCTCCTTTAGTCCCTGTGATCAGAATTAAATCCCTTTTTAATATGACTTTGCCATTCATCCATCAAAATATAAAGTCTGTTTCTGAAGCCCTTGGAACTGGGCATGGCCATCTCTTTGGCCAATAGGACATTAGCAAACTGAAACAAGCAAAGGTTTAAGAACTACATGCATGGTCTAGGAAGATAGCTCAGTGGCTTAAGTGCATGCCTGGCAAGCACAAGGTCCTGAGTTTGATCCCCAATACCAAAAAAAAGAACTACATATATATTGAGGTTTCCCTACTCTTGCTGCTTTTTGGAACCCTGGGCCCATGTGTAAAGAGGCCTGTACTAGACTGTTGGAAAATGAGATATCTCATTTTACAGTGATGGGGCAGACACAAACCATCCTAGATGAGGCACTCTAGAACAGACGGATTGACAAGTGACAGACACCCCAGCCATTCAACCATGGACAAGACAGCTGAGTAGCTGTCTGAATTCAGCATCCTCTGGGATTACCCTGAGTGACTGCTCCCTCCTAGTATTCATGCTTTTGTATAATCCCTTCCCCTTGAATTTGGACTGGATCTAGTGACGTGGTTCTGATGAACAGATACGAGACAAAGGTAATGGCGTATCACGGCCAAGATCAGGTTACAGAAAGACTGGCTTCTATTTTCAGTGTTGATTTCTTAAAGGGTTCATCCTAGGAACTAGGCTGTCATCTTATTAGCCATGTGGAAAACTCTTGAGTAAGCATAGGAGTATAGCCTCTCCTAGTGTAGCCTTCAAATGAGATCACAGCCAGATAGCTTGACTGAAACCTTGTAAGAGACCTGCAGCCAGAGTCACCCTTCTGAGCCATACCTGAATTCTGGACCCACAGAAACTGTGAGATGATAAGTGTTTATTTTTTAAACTGCTGAACTTTAGAGTCATTGTACAGTAACAGGTTTATAATACACTTGCCCAAACTAGGAAATCTCTGCCATACATCCTACCTGTCCCAGAAAACAGAATCATGGATTAAAATGTTTATTGATTCAAGTCATTAATTTTAGGTGGCTTACTACCCAGGAAAAGCTAATTTCCTCCTTTATTATTCTGCTCCAACAAATAACCAGTACTATTCAACTACTGTTCTATTTAACTACTATAAGCACAGATTAAAACATGCTTATAGTCATAGAGTTTTATAAAAGTTGATTTTCAAAAATAGCACCATATACATGTCTTGCTTTATTATTCAGCAATATCTGCTTTAATGTTTGTTTATATGTAGTAATTTTTCAGTCATTGACATATTAAAATGTATTCATTAACATTTTCACCTTTTTTGGTCAGTAGGAGCAAAAACATGTTACAAGTTAAGCTTTGCAGGAGAGTGAATACTTGAGTCCTACCTACTTGAGAAGCTGAGGCAGAAGGAACACTAGTCCAGGAGTATAAGACAGCATAGTAAGACCTTATCTCAAAAGTGTTAAAGAAATAGTGTGCATAATGGTTAGGCAGATAGGCCCATGCACCACCCTACTAGTGTTCTAATCCTGGTTCTACCAGGTACTACTGGTGTAACATTGGGCAGGTTAGTTACCACTCTGTCCTGAATTTTTATAGCTATAAAAAATGTTCACACTAGCACCTGTTTCACAGACTTGACTGAGAAGTGTATTCATTTCCCAGGACTGCTTTACAAGGTACCATACATTGGATGATTTAATCTACAGAATTTTTTTGACAGGGTCTTGCTATGCAATTTGGATTGGCCTTGAACTCACTAGGTAGTTCAGGCTGGCCTCAAACTCTGGGATTCTCCTGCCTTGGCCTCTAGAGTGCTAGGATTACAGGCATGTGCCACCATGCCCAGAAAGCTACAGAAATTTGTTGTCTCACAGTTCTGGAGGCTAAAAGTTCAAAATCAAGGTGTTGGGACTCTCAAGATGCTAGGGGAGGAACTATTTCATGCCCTTCTGGGTTCTGGTAGACTCAGGTGTTACTTGACTTGAAGATACATCACTCCAGTGACATGGCCATTTTCTCTGTGTCTTCACATCATGTTCCACTGTGTTTGTGTCTAATGTCCAGGTTTCCCCTTTTGCAAGGTATCCATTTATGGACACTCTAATAACTTCATTTTAACTTGGTGACTTCTGTAAAGATTCTTTCCAAGTAAGGTAACATTCTGAGGTCTTAAGGTTAAAATGTCCACATATCTTCTTTGGAGGCCATATTTCAACCCATGATGAGAAGTTCATGCATTTATCTGTGTAAAGCTCATAGCACTGTGTGAAGATAACTGCATAATGAAAACGAGATACATCGCACTTATGTCCTTGGGTCCTGCTGTGATCCTCTGTGTTGGAAATGAGGTGAGATTTGAGAGGTTATCTGTGACATGTCTCATCAAACTGTCTAAAGCAATGTAAGAAAAAGCAAGCCCAGGACTTGGAATTTGTGCTACCAGAACTTGAAGACTGTATCAAGAAGGATTCGTTTACAGAGGGCTCACTAAAGTGTATTCCCAAGGAGTGTTTCAATGGAAAACCTGTTCAAACTGAAGTTCTATTTATATGCAAATTGAAGACTATTTCTTACATTTGTGGCCAGGAAGTTATTGTTGACTTTAATGCATGTTATTTTGGTGATGTTAAAGAAAACAATTGAGCAAATCTAAAGGAATTTCTGAATTCAGATAATGTTACTTAGCCATAAATAAATTTTATGTTAGAAAAATATTAGGTCATGAGGCTAGATTGCTGTGTTGTTATCTGGTTTAAACTGAAAATTGAGAGTTGGTCAAGAATAGAAATTATGCCGGACATGGTGGTACATGCCTATAATCTCAGCACTCAGGAGGCTGAGGCAGGAGGATTGTGCTGAGTTTGAGGTCAGCCTGGGCTACATAATGAGTTCAAGACCAGCCTGAACTACATAAAGACACCCTGTCTCAAAAAAGAGTAGAAATTATATGAAATTTGGGAGGTCAGAGGGAAGGAACAACCTTCCCTCTAAAGTTCTTTGAGGGGCCGGGAAGATGGCTCAGTGAAATAAGCACTTCCCTGGCAAGCACAAGGGCCTGAGTTCAATCCCCGGTACAGGTACCGAGCAGGTTCCAAGTTTTCTTCACTCTCATTTACTCTATATCCAGCCTGTCTTTCCACCTAACAGCCCTGCTGATAAGCATTGTCCCCGGGGCTGACAGAGAGAAGGGCTTCTCACAGACTTGGTCAGCTCCCCCTCCACAGTCCCACTTTAACAGCTGGATATTCCTGGCTTCTCAAATTTTCTTGAAAGCTGTGATTTATCTACCAATGCCAATGACTTCTCGAATCTTTCATCACTTACTTTTATACCTTTATATCCCATTTCTCACTATAATTGTGCATGGTCTTATTAATATTTTAAAAACCCTTATTTCATAATATGCAATGATTATGCTTTCCTGATTTATACAGTTGTACTTTCTTTTCCTGAGATCTTGATACATATCCTAATGGTAATGTTGAGTGATGCCATTGAGAAATCTTAAACTTTCTCTTTTATGATTCAGTTTTATTATTGAAGTTAAGGATCTAATAGAAGCATATACCTTGGTTCTGATCTTTGTGAATTAATTTTACCTTAATTAAAGTCAATCATTCCAATCATTCATTTCAGGGAAGTTTTATTTTGCTTGACAGTTTTCAGATCCATTCCTTTTCTTCTTCAGAAACTACAGTTAAGATATATAAGATTTTTTGTCTTCTATGTTTCTTTTGTGTTGTTCTACATTCATTTCATATCATTTTTGTTTTGTGTGATGAAATTTAGCCTCCTATTAAGAGTCAATTTCCATGAAACTATCATGTTTATTCCTTAGCAACTCATTTGATCAGATTTGTTTATATTACAGCATAATAAAGATAGTGTCTCCCTCTCTGGATACATTTCCAAAGGAGACTTGGCTACATTCTTTCTTTCTTTCTTTTTCTTTCTTTTTTTTTTTTGAGGAACCGGGATTGAATTCAGGCTCTTGCGCTTGCCAGGCAAGCACTTATTCTACTGAGCCATCTCCCTGGCCCATGACTTGGTTACATTCTAAGGTAATAAGATAATGTCCCTATCTAAAGAGAAGGATGGGCAATGAAACAATGCTTTCCTTCACATTTTAATGAGTACATTTTCTTTTTTACTGGTATATGTCTATAATACATAATGCTTACTTTCATTGTAGGGAGTTGGTACATGTACATGACATTGCTTATTTTTTAAACCCCTTCCCTCTTCCCCCCTTCCCCTTCCTGTGTCCCTTGGGCCCCTTCATATATGTAATTTGCATGTATATAATTATGATTTTATATGTTTGTAGTATGTGATGATCATATATCTCCTATGTACTTGGTACATGATAAGTAGTGCATTTTTTTTTTTTTTTGCTATCTCCCTGGCCAGCACCTATTTAGTGACTATAGGACTATGGTGGGTTTTTTTTTTCTTACTGTATTTGGTTTGATTTCTCTTTTTTTGGCGGAACCGGGGATTGAACTCAGGCCCTTGAGCTTCCCAGGCAAGCACTTATTCTACTGAGCCATCTCCCCGGCCCCTAGTAGTGCATTTTAAATCATGTAAAAGTATTAAACTAGACATGGTAGTGCACACCTGTAATCCTAGGACTCAGAGCCTCAGGCAGTAGGATCCCTGTAAGTTTGAGGCCAGCCTGGGCTGCATAGTGAGTTCAAGACC